CCTCCCTCCTTCCAGTGTAACCCAGGTCTTCCCATCTCCTGCCCCTTATTTCTCAGTCCGTTTCCCCCCCCCATGGGTAGGACTTGGGCTAAAGTGCTGGTTCCATCCATTGCGGACAGGCTTGTCCATCTACCAAATCCAGATCAAAAGGGTCCGACTCACAGGGCTGTTTCTACCAGATGTTCTGCTCTGTAAAGCATCATGTTGCAGAAAACTGCCTCCCCTAGAATTTTATATAAAAGCAAACAGATCAAAATGAACCTCCCAGGTGGTCTCTTGGGGAAGAAGAAGTCTTAGAATTCCCATCACTTTGTTTTCTTGCACTCTTCTGATGCTGACGATGTTCTTTGTCTGCCTCGCTTGATTCCCAGGTCCGATGGCAGGTTTCCTGTTCTCAGGGACTGTGCTTCATTCCCCTACATGTGCCATGTTAGCCACACTCTAGAAGGGAAGATGGTTCTTCTTTGCCTGCTACGTCCTGGTGGGTCAGAGGCGTGTTAGGCTGATTTCCACGTAGCTTGTCGACTCCATCCTCACTACTTATAGTCATACATTGAGTGCGGGAATTTTTAGCACTAACCGGTAGGTCTTCCTTCATTCACTCCAGCAGACTTTTCTGGAATTTCTGTCTAGACATCCAACTGGAAGAGTCCTGGCTCCTCGGGGCCTACTTGGGTGACGTGGGAGTCAGCCTCTCCTAAAAAGGGCGAACTCTGGAACCTGAGAATCAAATGCTGCACCCCCCTCCCTTACTAGCTTGGAGACTGGCCATCTCATGCAACCCCTCTGATCCTCGGTTACCCAGCTATGACTAGACACGCTAATGCCAGCCACGGGATGGCTCCATGAGTAATGGAAAGATCACGAAAACACCAGGAGGCTCTCATGCAATATTTACTTCTTTTTTTCTTTACTGCTACCTTCCCTGTTACCGCCCCACAGTTTTTCACTATTTTTTGCTCCCCTCAAAACATGCCATTCAGGACCAATCTCAGTAATAAACTCTTGAAGCTTTCACTAATAATAACCACTTCTATTGCCTTATCTGGCTTCAGCTCTAAGCTCGTCCTCTCCCCTGGGTACCCACAGCTCCAATGCTGATGACTCTCAGACCCGCCACAAGGGCCACCACAAAGCCGTAGTGCTGTCACTGATTAGCACCGATGCTCCCAGCGTCACCCCTGCCTAGATAGGAACTATGGCTCCGCACTAACTAAAAATTGAATGTCTGAGTCTTAGAGGTAGTTCTAAAAGCTAGTTCCCATTGCTACTGAGTGACTAGAGAAGGAATGGACAAACCCAGAAAATGTCATTTTATTCCAGCACTGCCTGAAGTCCCGCAGTGTTATTTTCATAGCGTCCTTTTGACCTTTGGTCCCATGTGCTGCCATGAACTCAGGGAGCCCTGGGTTCCTAAACTGTCACTTCATCCTTTGTTTTGTTTAATTTGCTATTATTTGCTAAGAACCCAAGAGCTTGTGTTCGTTTCCATTTGATAAAAAACAATAGTTGTCTAGTGAGTCCAGTCTTGCCAAGCACAGCATTGACTTCAGTCGAGTTTCTCAGCCTCCCGAGTCAGCCACTACCCTTTCCATGAAAAAACATAGGACTTTTAAAAAGATGATCCTTTCTAATTGGATATATTATTGCTTCGTGCTTCAGAACTCCAAACTAGAAAATTTGAAGGATAGTGAAGGATGATCCTCAGTTTTCGGTTCCCCTTAGTCCTCCATATCTGAGCTATCCCAGCACCTAGGCACTTTTTTTTTTCAGATGTTTTCATGGATTCACGCTATCTTGTTTGTTTCCCACTCTTTTTACATTTGTACTTCTGTACCCAGGACCTATAATTATTCTTGAATACTAATCTCTCTGCTTTCAGAGCATTGCACCCTAGGCATAAAAATGTGCTGTCTCCTGGTATCAGACCTAGAATTCCCTTCCCAGCTTTCATTCCCTGTAATAACCCAACACCACCTCCACTCAATGTCCTTCCATTATTCTGCAGTGTGTACTCTCCAATTTAGTGAGTAAATTCTTCCTATAATTCTTGCTACAAACTATAGGCATCCCCAACTCTTGGCCTTTACTAAGATCATCCCCCAACTTAGACTTCTTTCCTCCTCTCATCTTCTGCCCCATTTCCTCCTCACCACAACATGAACTCATCAACTCATTGCTGTCTTGTCCACCACCACTATATCCCAGTATATAGAAAATTTCTTGCTACATGACCAGCATTCAGCCAATTTATATTTATAGACTTACAGACTTTCCCTCAAGGCCCACTTCAAAAATAATTTCCCTTTTTAAAACCTACACTATTTTCTTTGCATTCTTACATAATCCACATTCGTCTCTATTTTTATCAGCTGATTTTAAGTTCCTTGAAGATGGAATTCATAACTTGCCTCACTTTGCATCCCTCAAGAGTGTCCTGATAATGTGAGGAAAGTAAATGTCATGCTTGGGGGAAAGGTCCCTAACAACACAAGAATGACTCATAAAATGCATTTCTCTCCTACTGTTTGCCAGTCCCTGTTTTAGATCGGAGAGGGTGGCCTACATGAACTGGAGTCTATTTTTTCACTGTTACTGGTTATCCGTATTATCTCCTCATTGATACACTTAGGTTCTCTGAGCTTTAGACTCCTCCTCTAGGAACTAAGAGAGTTAAACTAAGTTCTAATGTCCCTTTCAATTGTAGAATTCTACGAAATCTAAATATTTATCAGTAGATTGATGAGTGATATTCTTTTTTTTTTAATTCATGAGAGACACAGAGAGAGAGGCAGAGACGTAGGCAGAGGCAGAAGCAGGCTTCCCACGTGGAGCCTGATGTGGGATTCAACCCCAGGACCCCAGGATCATGACCTGAGCCAAAGGCAGATGCTCAACCACTGAGTCACCCAGGCATCCCGATGAGTAATATTCAAAAAGTACTCATGACTGTCTGTTTTCAGTTTCTATTCATTTATTTGTTCAACAAATGTTTATTAATGTTCCCATGTAATTGTGTGCACTAAAAACACCAGAGGTACAGCAATGAGCATAACCCATGTGCCCTGAGATACCCTGCTTCTCATACCATGATGCACTGGGTGGCCCAGTAACCAAATTCCCTTAAATTTCTTTGAGAAGAGTAAAATTTTGCTAAACCTTCCACCCCAACTCCAGCTAGCTGGTATAATTATTCTCAATAACATAAAATATTGACTTTGGAAGAAATTGAGGCAAGCAAATAAATAAATATGCCATGCAGATGTAACTTACCTGGGGCTTCTCAAAATCTATGGTTTTAAGCTATTGCCCTGATGACTACTATTATGGAAAAAGTGAAAGTTCAACTAGTGGTTCTGAGAGCCTTTCCCTATATTTAACTAGAGCAGCAGCTCCATTTACAAATGTGTTTTGCATGTTGAAATTATACTGTTGTTTTAAATAACCATTGTTCTAGGGAACTAATTGGAATTAAAATAAAATAATAGGGAGGATGCTATACATATTAATGTGTTATGATTGGGGAATCCATGCTCCGTATGTGTTTTAACGATATCTCTAAAATGTAACACCCATTATCCTTTGATAGACGAAGGGATTGTGGTATTGAAACTTTCATAGATCCTTCAGAGCATCTAGTGGTACAACATTCGATGCATTTTTCTTGTTGTACTTGAACTTCCAGAGAGCTCCTAATGCCATTAAGTTCTTTATCATGACAGTCATCACATCACACATAGCAACTGATAAATTTGTAGTCAAAGAGAGAACATATTGGGTTTGGTTTTTGTTTTTGTTTGGTTTTTGGTTTTTTGTTTTTGTTTTTTTTTTTTTTTTTTTTTTTTTGACATCCATGTACTTCTACACTGGGTTTTTCTAAGCAAAGTGACTTTAAATATATTCTAGATTTTTGGTAGTTGAAAAGAGGATTAAGCCTATATCACAGAAATAAAACCCAGTAATGATACTATGGACGTTCAAAAGTAACTTTCTAATAAAGCTCCAATCGGCACCAAAAAGCATTTATGTAAAGGATTCAATATCTTATTCAGGACTTACTCAGGACTAGATAATAATAGTGCTTTCCTCATATGGATCACAAAGCAAAAACAATTAAGGATAGAGCAAATAAAATAAATATAGTGTAGTCTATGGACACTAAAAGAAATCCAGTGGAGGATCTCCTAATACTGAAATGACTCATTTACAAGCCAAATGCAACATGAGCATAAAGAAAGTCATTGAGCAAGAAGCACCCAGAGACAATCTTCCATCATGATATGCTTGTCCATAAGATATCCCACAACTCATTTCACCAATATGTGGGAGGAATGACCTCTTTTGGGCTTTCCCAGCCTTGATTTACTTTTTCAAAAGAAAGGATGTTCTTAATCTAGCTTGAATTCTGGGTTGAAAAAACTTTGGTGATCTCTATACCTTTTCCTCCCTAAGACCTTAAAAGTGGCTTAGCTGGTATCACACTTAAAAACACTCCTTCTTCCTGGAACTGTAGCTAGAACATATTAGCCAAGACATTTTCCACAAAGGAATGTGGAATGTCTTTCCTTTTACCGTGTTCATGTCAGGCCCTGACTGGAACTGTATGCCGAGGGTTCCAGCAAGCTGGTTCCCTTACTCTGACTCTCATTATGTTCACAGATGCCTTTGGCCTTACCTATTACAATTGTATTAGAAACTGAACCTCAAAGATTTGAAAAACTAATCTTCAGCTAATGGGACTTTTTGATAAGTTTAGAGGATTTATCCAAAGTTGGATACTTTGTATACTTTCAAAGTTAGATTTAAAAAAAATGATTTTGTAAATACACCTTTTGAATTAGCAAAATTAAGAAAATCAGAGTCACTAACCTAAGATTTCTGGTCATCTTTTGTGCTTCTTTAGTCTCTGGGTAAACAAATACCATCCTCTACCTTAAGGTGCCAGATTTAGAAATCGTAAGGTTTACTCAAAGCTGTTTTTTTGTTTTGTTTTGTTATAGTCACAATATTCTTCTCTGTGAGGATGGGCATGCTGTGGTGGCAGATTTTGGAGGTGAGATTTCTATGAATAATACCCCAAATGACATCAGTCCTCTTTCTTCATTCCTAGTTGGCGCCAAATATCGTTATAATGAATCTGAAAATGGATTTCACACTGACAGTTATACTTTTCTAAGTCATTCAAATTTCAGTGATCCTGAATCTTAAAAGTATATTGTTTATTTTCAGTTTTTCCTCTTTGATATTCCCAGATAAAAGAAAGGAAGTGAGCACTTAAATAAGGTGGAGATTTCTTGGGGTTTCAAAATTTTGGCTGTGATTTTGACTGTTTTTAAAGACCTTTCCTTTGACATGAATTCGTTTTTTTCTCTCCCTCAGAATCAAGATTTCTACAGTCTCTGGATGAAGACAACATGACAAAACAACCTGGGGTTTGTTGCTGCTTATGTTTCCCATAATTATGAAACAATTAAAATGTGTAAACTCAGCATGAGACGAAGTGAGATGAGAGCAGCGCTTAGCTAGAACCATTCTCATTGTCCCAGGGGCAGGATAATGTTTTATGTTTTTATTTTCAGTAAACCCTCAAAAGAACTCTTTCAAGGCTCTACCAGAAAAATAGATTAGATATATATTTGGAAAATGAGATGGATAAAATAATACAGAATCTGTTTCAAATTTAACTGAAAAAGTACATGGCAGGCATGGCTAATTGGCTTTCCTTTTTAGATCTTCTGATTAAGTAGTGAAGTTCACATTCACTCAGTAACTAACTGTAGAATTTGTAAATTCTATTAAAAGCATCTATTAACAACTTTTTTCTACTTTAGCATCATAAGGCAATATGTCCTATAACCAAGCATTAATGTTTAAGTAAAATATAAGTTATAACATCTGAAGCAAGCATAATTGTACTCAAAATGTCTGCAATTAAATTCATTACCTGCTGTCTCCTTTGCTCCCCACATACCTCCAGAAAGTAACTTCTTTTTCTAGACTGCCTGTGTTATTTAATTACCCAACTTTGAGGTAATTTTCCATTCCTTCCTTCCTTGCTTCCGCTAACTCTGTTCACTTTTTCTATCTACGTTTGTATGCTTGTTTTAATTTCAACCCAACCTCTTATCGTCCACTTCAGTTCAGGTCTTCATCATCTCTTTTCTGGATTAGAAGTAGGATTCTATGCCCAATACTCCCTTCCAATTCATTCTTGGCAGCATCAGCCAAGTGTTGGGTTCTGACAATTAACCTCCTTCTATAAGCCATCACAGATACCCACTACCAGGGGCACCTGAGTGGCTCAGCTGGTTAAGCATCCAACTCTTGATTTCCGCTCAGGTCATGATCTTGGGGTCCTGGGATCAAGCTCTTCATCAGGCTCTGCTCAGTGGGGAGTCTGCTTGAATTCCTTTTCTCTTTCTTCCTCTACCCTCCCCTCCATGTGCTCACACACACACACACTCTCTCTCTCTCTCAAATAAATAAATATTTAAAAAGAAAGAAAAAAAGGAAAGAAAGAAAGAAAGAAAGAAAGAAAGAAAGAAAGAAAGAAAGAAAGAAAGAAGAAAGAAAGAAAGAAGAAAGGAAAAGACACCTACTACCCATAGGCCAAAATCAAAATTCAGTACCTGACAGCCTCCTGTCCTCCCCAGTCTGGTTTAGGGCCCCTCTGTAATCTCTTCTCTCACAGCTAGTTCTCTCAAGGCCCCTCTACCCCAGCACACAAGCCTCCTAGCCATTCCCCAAACATGCCATTCACCTTCATATCCCTGTGACTCTGCTAGTATGCGTTTCTCTCCCTGGATAGCTCTCCTTTCCCCAACTAGAAGGAGTCTACTCATCTTGCGAGGCCCAGGAAATTTTATCCATTTTAAGTGCCTTCCTTTCCCTAACATGCCCCCCAACACCTGCTGTCTCTTCCCCATTTACTTTTCTGTTTGTGCTTTTGTGCATTTTGCACTGCTAATTTAAACTCTTATTCATTCACTCTACAAACTTTTACTGAAGACCTACCTTGTATCAGGCATTGTTTAAAGGACCAGAAATGCAACATTTGAAGAAAAGCTTAGTCCTTGATCTCAAGGAGCTCATTTTCTAATGGGGAAAACATGGTAATAAGCATATAGATTTAAAGCAGTATGGAAGTTCGGTGGTAAATAAGGTGTGACGAAGAGTCCTGGGAACTCAGGTGGGATGAATGGGAGTAAATTAGGTGTAGAGAAAACGGAAGGGAGTGGCAGATAGAATGAATAACAGTATGAGCAAAGACACAGGGGACAAAGAAATAGCAGACTTCCCAGGGGAACTTCAAATAGGTTGGCCTTGTTGGCATGCACTGTGTGAGGAAGAGAGTAAAAGATAAGCTAGGGAGGAAGGCAAGAGCCACATCATGGACATGTTGTATTGTGATGCATGCTCCCCCCAGTTAGATTTCACTCATTCATCCAACAAATATTTATGGACTACCTACTAGATGCCAGACATTCTTCTAGGCACTGGGAATATTGCAGTGAACAAATTAACTTTCATGTTCCTACGAAGCTAACATTCTATTAGAAGGAGTTAGACACTGAACAATTTAGCAAAATATATATTAGTAGTGATAAGTGCTATAAAGAAAAAACAAAGCACAGCATATGAATGTAGAGTGGCAGAGGTGCCATTTAGACAGAGCAAGAGGGAAAGATAGCATTTGATGAGAGATCTGACCAACAGTCATCCATGTGAGGCAGCGGGGAGGGGGGTGCAATATAGACGGAGGGAGCAGTAAGTGCAAAGGCCCTGAAGCAGGAAGTTCTCTGTGTGTCACGGACAGAATGACTGGAGCGCAGTGAGCAAGAGGAGAATGGTAAGATATGAAGTGTAAGGGAGGTAGGAAGAGGGTCCTCTTTCTGACAGGACACACAGTACCTGGGACATAGAGAGTGGTAAGTCAATGGTTCTCAACCCTGGCTGCACATTGGAACCACGTCAGAAACCTTTGAAAAAGCACGCCACTTACTTCCAACCCCCAGAAATTCTGATTTCATTGGTCTGCGGTTGATCTTGGGTACCTGCATCTTTTAAAAGTTCCCTCAGGTGACTCTAAAATACATCCAGACTGGCTAAATAAACTTTGGTTGAAAGAAAATTGAATCGAATGTCACCAACAGCAAGCATTTATTGTTTCTTTCCTAGCAGTGTAGCCTTTGAGCACAGCCCTACTCTAGATTTATTTTGAAGGCTATTTGGTTTCTTACTAGTCATGTGGCCTTGTGTAAGTTGGCTAATTACTCTATTACCCCCCGTGGGAAAATGGGCATATTGCATGCCCACTCCCACTTACGCGATGTTGCGACACAATGCATAATCTGCTACGTAAGTGGAGGCTACTTGGGATGTGAAAGCGCTTGAGGAAGAATTGCATATAAGCCCCATAATGGGAATATAGATATTCTTGGAATGCTGTAATTATGCATGATTTCAAAATAAGGTAGACCCCTCCAAATAATTATCAGCAGCCAGTCTCCATAGAACTTTGGGGACAGCAATAAAAGAATATCGGTTTCCTTCAGTGGAAGCACAAAGAAAGGAGGTGTTTGGCGAAGTTCACTGAGAAGCTATATAGAGCCACGGGATGTTAGAGCTGGAAGGGCTTGCCTCCTCTGTTTTGCCTTTGAGGAATCTGAGGTCCAGGAAGCACATGAGATTTTTCCAGAGCTGCCCAAGCAGGCAGTAGTAGAGCTAGAACTGGAATTTTCATCTTGTGACTCAAAACTTAGTGCTCTTTCCCCTAAACCACAAATAAACCAAAATTATGCATTTGCATCCCAGAATGGAAGCTTATATTTAAAACCAAAAAAAAAAAGCATAACTGCCAGTGAAAAAAGAATGTAAATAATGCCATCAAAACATGAATATAAAACTTTGTAGGAAGAAAATTATGACATTTTATAGCCTCTCTTCCTGGAATATTGCACACACGGCCTTCAGAAATAACGCAACTGGGCGAACAAAGGAGAATGGCACACATCATTCTGCCAGTAAGAGATCTGCTTCAGAGGAACATTCTGAGCACTCCCCCAAGATCCTTTCTCTCCTCAGTCATGAGGGCGCTATCGATGGGTTTAATTTGGTGACTTTCTGAAATTACAACCTGAAGATCTAAGGGAGGGAAGGTGCCTCCCACAGTGTGTGATTCACCCCCCGCCCCCCAGGGAGGCACAGAGCTCTTGGACGAATCGTGGTTGGCTTCTTGGAAGCTTGTAGGGCTTCTAGGGAAGAGATGCTCAGAAGTAAACAGAAAGTGCTGCTGCTGTGATCATTTTATAAGACGCGGGATTACTTGACGATTAATACTATCCCAGTATTTTTGGAAGAATTATGAACATCACGATCCTCCAGTGATTTTTTTAAAAAGTCTTTTGTAAAAAGGATCAACAATAGTAAACGTGCTATTTATGTATGAACACACCAGTGTGTTGCCCAGTACAGGACAATCTATGTTATTTTACATTTATATCTTTTGAGAACAAGGGGGCAACACTTAAATGCTTACTAAGAGGAAGACCGTTCCACAGTGGACTAAGTAAACACTTGGTAGGTGACTCTTGGATGTTTCCGAACCCGCAGAACCTCCGCTGGATGGCTCCCGAGGTGTTCACACAGTGCACACGCTACACCATCAAAGCTGACGTCTTCAGCTACGCCCTGTGTCTGTGGGAACTTCTCACCGGTGAGATTCCATTTGCTCATCTCAAGCCAGGTAAGACATCCTGCGAAGTGTTTCCGTTTTCCAGGATTCTATGCATTTTCATGACTTCAAGAAACATTTTTTTCTTCCTCAAAATCATCACTCTTGGTGGGTTGGCAAGGTGAGGATAAAGTAAACAACTTCGATTTGTTTTAAAGCATGTGCCAAATCCAGGAAACTTATTGTCCTAACTGTGTGATTCCTAGACCCAGGCACACACAAGCATGGCTATATTTTATTAAAGTGTAAGGCTTTGATTTATCTGTGGTTAATAAAACAAGCAAATGACTATGATCACATGGCAGGTGGTGCAAATAATGTGGACATTGTAATACTTATTTTTTGAGATTAGATTCTAGACGCTTTTCAGTGTGTATATAGGGGTGAGCTGAAAGTAGCAACACATAGCAATAACTTATCAGAACTGCTTTCTGTTTGTCTCACATTATGGAAAAGAGAATTGCTTTTCCTAATAATTTTGCATCCCATAAATGGATACCTTCTAAAAGTGGGACTTAGAGAGTAAGCCTAATTTTTGGTGAGAATATAGATTATCTACTCCGTGCACATGTAGACAGGAGAGGTAGGAAATCCAATCACGTGAAAGATATACAGATACTTGAGATTTAAGGTAAATTTTATCTGCATCTGTCTCTTCATTTTGTTTGAGTTGCCTTTATGTCTTGTTGCTCTATTTACTTACTTAGACTGGAAATTTGCCCCCAGCTATCACTCATCTGATTTATGTCTGTATAGGTTTGCCTTTTTGAGAATATCCTGTAAATGGAATCATGTTGTTGATTTTCAGTAATTCATTCTTTTTTGTTCTGAATAATATTCCATTGTGTGGATATATCACAATTTAATTGTTTGTGCATTGACCACTTGATGATTATTCTGACTTCAGAGCTGCTGTGAATATGATCGCTAAAACCATTCAGGTCTTTGTGTGGATGGTTTCATTAGTCTTGAATAAATATGTAAGAGATGATTACTAGATCTTATGATAAGAACTTTTCTACAGTATTTATATCATTATGGATTCCTACCAGCAGTGTATTAGAATGTCAGTTGCTACACATCCTTGCCAGGATTTTTTTTTTTGTTATCTGTTTAAAATAAAATATTAGCCATTTAGGTAGGTCTGAAATGGCATATCATTGTAGTATCATTTAATATTTCTCTAATAACTAGTGATGTTGATAATCTTTTCACATGTTTATGTGTGTTTGTACCTCTTTCTTTGGTGAAGTGTTTGTTCAGATTGCCTTATTGTTTACTTTGTAAGAGTTCTTAGATTCTAGGTAGAGGTCTTTCATCTGCTATGCATTTGGGAAGTATTTTTCTCTAGTCTGTGGCTTGCCTTTTCATGATTCTTAGTGATGTCTTCAAAGAAGTTTCTATTTTCAATGATGTCTACTTTATCAAACTTTTAAATCACTTTTTTTGTATCCTTTCTAAAATATGATTGCATCACTAAGGCAACAAAGATTTCCTCCTATGTTTTTAATAGAATTCTTAGAGGCTTAGGTTTTACATTTAGAAAAACTATCCATGTTCTTTTTTTCAATAGCACAGGTATGAGCTTTTGTTTTTCTTTTGTTGATTTGTTTTTTAATATGGATGTTTAATTTTCCAGCATGATTTGTTAAAAAAAAAAAACCAAACTTTCCTTTCTCCATTAAATTATTTTTGGTACTTTTATCAAAAATCAATTGACTGTATATATGTGTTTATTTTCGGACTCTGTTCCATCAATATATGTCTACCCTTACACCAATACCATATTATATTGAAAGGTTATAGTTAAGTCTTGAAATCAGGTTGTATGACTCCTCCAACTATGTTCTTCTTTAAAAGAATTACTTTGGCTGTTCTAGGATTTTTGCCTTTTTTTTAATTTTTAGATTTTATTTTATTTATTCATGACAGACACAGAGAAGAGAGGCAGAGACACAGGCAGAGGGAGAAGCAGGTTCCACGCAGGAAGCCCGATGTGGGACTCGATTCTGGTTCTCCAGGATCATAGCCCAGACTGAAGGTGGCGCCAAATCACTGGACCATAGGGGCTGCGCAGGAGTTTTGCTTTTTGATATAAATTTTAGAATTTGTTATCTCTATCAAAAAAAAAAAAAGCCCACTGGAATTTTAGGGATATTGGTAGATTCCATTGAATTTATAGATCAATTTGGGAGGAACAATTTAAGCATACTGAATCTTCTGATCAGTCCACATGGTATAACTCTCCCTTCAGTTAGGTCTTCTTTAGTTTCTGTCATGAGTATATTTGTAGCTTTTAACATACAAACCTCGAATATTTTTTTAGATTTATCTCTATGCATTTTGTGTTTTGATACTATTATAAATGTTATTTTTTTATTTCAATGGGTTCTTTGCTAAAAGGGAAATATAATTAATATTTGAATATCAACCTACTATTCTATAAATTTGCTAAATTTACTTATCCACTCGAGAAGCTTTTGTCTACATTCTTTGGGTTTCTCCACATAGATTATTTTGTACTCTGTAAATAAGGAAAACTTTCTTTCTTTTTAATCTGTATGTCTTTTTGTATCTTTTTCTTGCCTTCTTGCACAAGCAAAGACTGTGGTGAACAACAATGAACAAAAGCAAAAGTGATGAGCTATGTATCTCGAATCTATCCCTTTTCAAAATTTCACCCATCATCATGCTAGTCAAAGCTGCCATCTTTATCACTGTAACTACTGAGATAGTCATTTGACTTATTTCCCTTCATTCTGCTCCACTTCCTCTCCACTCCGTATATATCTACTGGAATAGTATCTTAACATAAAACCAATTATGTCACTATTGCTTAAAATCATCCAAAAGCTTCCTGTGTTCTTAGAATTAAATCTCAAAATTATTAATATGCCCTGAACAATTCTACATGATTCTGTATCTCTGACCTTGCCTAGATCATTTTCTGTCCTGTCCTCCAGCCACTGTAGCCATCTTTTACTTCCTTCCATGTGTCCTATTTTTTCTGGCCCCTTTACAAACTTTTCCCCTGGAAATGCAGTTGATGATGACTCCACAAAGGTTACTGTGAGGATCACATGAAATGATATTTTCAACTGACCTTCATAAACTGAAAACTGTCCGCAACTGTAAGATGAGAGATGAGGGCAAAGTGTAACACAAGGTCAGGACTTCCTAGGATTCTATACTTACGTGGCACTCATTCTGCAGAAAGCCCATATAAAAAGTCCAGTCATCTGTAACTCTTCTTATTCCTCCTTTTCTTCATTCCTCCTGTCCTTCCTCTCTTGTTTTCCTCACTCTTCTCCATATTTTCGGTCCTACTTTCTAAATATCTCCTGAATCTTTCCCCTTATCTCCCTCTCCCACTGCTACTTCCTTATTTTACATGTAGAACTCTGCACAGTATCTTAAATGGTGTCCTCATCTCTAGGTTTTCTTGTCAGATTCTTTTAACCAGTTGTCATACCATAGCTAGGCTTAGCTTTCTAAAAACTCAAGTTAGGTCATCTGGCCTTCCTTATTTAAAATTTCCAAGGTTTTCCCTTTGCTTTTAAGATAAAAACAAAATTTATTGAAATAATTTACAAAGCCTCACACCACTTTCAGTCTCTCATTTATGTTCCAGCCACAAGACACTATTTCTCTTCCCCAACGTGATGTGTTTCCTCTCACTTCTCTGTTTTTGTACACATTGGTCTCTTTGAGACATTCTTGCTCACTTTTCATCGTATGAACCCTAATTAATTTGAAGATCTTAGCTTAAATGTCACTTCTTCCCAAAACATCTTCCTTAATTCTCTAATATTGAGTTAGTGCAGTCTCCTCCATGCCCCAAGTCATCATTTATTATAGTATTTATCATATTTTACTCATACGGTTTTGGAATTTTCTCTACCGCATTATCCTTTGCTAGTTATACAGTGAATATTTCAAAGAGATAAAGATCCCTTCTGTCATGGACCCCCTGGAAATATTTACCCTTTTTAGACAGAGAATATTATATAATAAAACAGTTACAAGTCTTGCCTAAGAATAACTTGATTCCAATATCTCAGATATTAGAATTTACAGTACTTTATTGGAAAGAGAGTTTGTTTATGATAGATGTTGAATTTTTTAAAGTTGGACAGTGACCATGCATCAAGAAATGAGACTGTTTATATCATTGCAGTGGTTAGGCAATCTAGCATATGTTCAGCAATAAATTATGTGAAGCATCAGATTCAATATAAGCTACATATTAGCCATTTACAAAGAGGAACAAATCCATGACTACAATGTGTGACAGCATTATCAATTATGGTAGTAGCAACATTACACATGGCTCATCCTTCTGGATTTAGTAGTTCCCTATCTCCTGCGAGAAATACAAAAGTGGAACACAAATATTGGCATTGACTCCTATGCAAGTGATGGGTTTAAACTGAGAATAACTTGGAGTTAGAGTCTCTTTTGCATAGGGCATGTTCAAATTCACCCTATAATCTCAGGTGTAGAAAGGACCAAAAGCCATCACATCCAACATCCTATAGTCACCTGAGATCAAATGCCCAAAGGACCAGAGGAAATAGGCAAATGCTTGACACAGGACAGTGTAATGGACAGGAAATCACCTGCTCTGATTCAAGGGGAGAGCTGCTACCCAAATCTAGCCAAGCAATAGCATGAAGGAATGTAGGATCACTGCTCACTGTTACCATATACTCTAATTTCTGTGTATTTGTTTAGAAATCTAAATGTTTGGAGTGCTTGGGTGACTCAGTTGGTTAAGACTCTGACTTCTGATTTTGGCTCAGACCATGATCTCAGGGTTGTGAGATTGAGCCCTGTGTTGGGCTCTGCACTGCACACAGAGCCTGCTTAAGATTCTCTCTTTCTCCCTTTCCCTCATGCCTCCATGCTGGCTCTCTCAAAAGAGAAAGAAAGAAAGAAAGAAAGAAAGAAAGAAAGAAAGAAAGAAAGAAAGAAAGAAAGAAAGAAAGAAAGAAAGAAAGAAAGAAAGAAAG